TGTTTTTATCTCTGATTAGTGGAGACTGTCTCCTGAGGTTTCTGAAAATGGGTATATCATGGCTCCGTGGAAGTTTTCAAAGCTTAAAAATACCTCAGAGATCGAGGTACTTCTCGACCTATCCCATATTATGAGTTCCTGTAGGGCAACAGTCGAGGAAGCTAACACTTACGTTGTCTTGAGGAAGGATATCGCTTGCCATAGCAGAGAGTTCCTTTTGCATCAGCGCTTCCAGGCTGGACTTATTCAACTCGGAAGTAGGCAATGTATAGGTCGGCCACCAGCACAGAATGACGGCCCTTTACTCAAGCTTCTTGAGGCGCAGCCGAACGTAACCACCAGTAAGTTGGCAACCTCTCTAGGCTCCACCTAACTGACAACTGCCATGCTTCTCCGCAGTCTCGGTTATCGGAAAAATTTTTTATGAAGGATGCCTCATGAGTTGAACCCCTCTGACAAGTCATACCGAATGACCGTGACTGAGTTTTTTTTTCCTTGTACACACTGGAGGAACATTTGTGAGATCTTGTGGTTGGTAGCGAGTGGTGGAGTCCTTGCGTACATCATGCACATGTTCCTCGCAGGATCTCTCAAACAGAAAAGTAGATTGCACAGCCAAAAGCAGATGTGCATGGGATAAAGATTTCAGTAGGTTATTGGTGGGACTTCAAAGCGGTATCTCTGGATACTAGCATAACGGTAAGGACTACAGTCCACTCTAACCAACCTCACAACATGGATGACGTCACGCTTGAATTCTTCAAAAATACTCAATTTTTCTCTACCGCTCGGCAATGCGAAGACCGCATGTTAGGATCAGGCCACACCAAAAGATCGTGGATCTTGATCTGAGAATGCGACCATACCCAGCTTATTCATCAAAGTTAGCAGTCTCTAACTACTACCTTTTTTGATCCCTACCGCATCCTTAAGAAGGCAAAAATTCCGAAAATCGACGTCTACTCAAAAATGAGGTCCACCTCTTCTTCTTATCATAGTTGCCGTAGTTCTATAAGAATGGAAATGAGAAGCTGTGCAAAAGAAGGGCACTAGTCCTAGTCCTTAGTGGTGATTACCTTGTAGATTGGAGATGTCTTTTAGTGACTGAAAATTTAGTCCGAAAAATTGGTCAAAGTGTCGCAGGACTTTTCGAACAACCTAATAGAATGCGCTGACTACCTTGGGGGAAAAAAGGTGGGGTGGGGGAGGGGGTGGGTGGCACACCTGCAAGCGCTTGTCAGCATATTAAATCCAGCAAAGTGTATACAGGACTGATACCGGACAACCCTGTAAGTACCTGTAAACCTTGTTATCACCTCAAGCACCCTGTCAATCCTTGTTAAGCTTAGCAAGTTGGAAGTCACTGAAACGTCACTTTCCCTGTTTTTCTAAATCTTGACCAGTCATTCTGACAAAACAGGAGTTCACAAGCTGCTTTGCAGGTAAGAACAAGGCATAAAGGGTGTCAACAAGGCTCTCCGGTGTTTACATGCACTAGAGCTACCAGGTGTGACCCCCCCCCTCCCCAACTTCGTGGCTAATGCGCGCTAAATGGTGCTACTGCACCTTTTCCATCTGAGTATTCTTGTGCACCATGATGAGCAAGGATAACGCGACATGCTAATGGTAACATGATATGACTCCAATTATTTATTACTACAAAGGAGCCAGTAGAGAAGTACAGTACACACTACAGCAGTACAGTACACACTACACTAGTCCGCGACTACAGTACACACTACAGCATTACTTGCACCCCTTGACTCCGTACTCAGAAACGTCTTTCTCGAAATAGTGAAGGTGGTCTTTTATGGAGGTGTCGGCTAGATTGCCATCCGAACAGAAGGTGCTTTCTCCCATATCGTAGCATACGTAATAGTGAGCACCTACGGCCATTCCTTTGTTGTATAACGCCTAAAATGACGGTTGATTAAGGGGAAGTGGCATCATCAGACCGCAGCTTCTGCCCATGTACAGAAAGCGAGAACTGCTTTCCCAGCTAAAGACAGCGCTCGTAGAAAAGAGGCTATCAAGTGTCAATCACCTCAGTTTTATGATGGTAGTAGCCCTCCATGTTCTCTAGCGGTAGATGCGGAACTGAGTCGTGAGAATGCGTCACTCGGAAGGCGTATGGAACCTGCAACGAACACATCAAAGTGTTGGCGAACTGCTCATGGAACAGTTTCATGGTGAAAAGAACGGAAGGTCTCAAAGCGACAACTTCTTAACATGCTTCACTACTCACCGCTAAACCCTCGTTTACTGTCACCCTTCTCGGGATGAGAAGGTATTCGCATATTATTGTCGTCAAGCTCCAGGAAGACCTACTGTATTGGTCAGCCCAGACCCCAGGATTTCTTTGCAAGTCTCCAATGAACGAGCTCCCAGAATCTAATTTTCCATTTTTCCTCCAAGGGTTGCCATCAAGCAGGAGAGGTAAGAGTATGGAGCTCGTCACTGAGCAACCACTGATTCCTACTATCGGAATTAGTACCTGTATACGTGGTACTTCTAACAGTATTCACTCATGATCCCCGATAGGGCATCTGACGGGGCCATGGCTGTAGAGCAGCCAGACCAGATTTCTTACCACTTGTAGCGGACTCAGGATGGCATTTTCGGTGAAAAAGGCTGCGCTAAAATACGCGCCGTGTCACCGCCCTATCTTGCAGGGGATCATGACTGTACACAACGAGCGTGCAACGGGAAAGTCAACGAATCGAATTTCTCTATCGCTGAATACGACCCTCTCCCCTCTCCAGCAACTTGAGTGGGATCCCCTGACGGATTCTTATATCTCAGAGAACATAAATGGTTCACGATCGTGATCCGAATTCAACAATGCAGTGCCTTATCACAAAGGCACTGATATTCCATAGAGGCGCTTCGACGGATTCCGGGTTCTATTTGAGAAGACGAGAGACTGCCCTGTAATTCTCATTCTTCGTCGTCAAAGTTCTACTTAGGCAATAGTAGAGAGACTTTTGGCCCTATTAAACAATAATGGAAAGCTACTGTACAGCAGATATGCAGAGCGTAATAGACCGAATGAGTCCAATATTGTCCCTTTTGTCGCTCGCAATCTAACAAACTAAGGGCAAGTTTTTTCCTAGTGGAAAATGAAAACCAGCGGAAACGGAACATTCAAACAAACTTCTTTCTCTACCGCAGCGGCATAGTCCTTATCTCCAGTGCGAGGCTGTCCGAACGTCACCAATTTGATCTGGAATATTTTCACTTCAACAAGTCCCGAAGCTAAACAATCCATAGAAGAAGACCTTGTCAGCTGCAAACAGCTTGTTGTGGGCGATGTAAGAGGCGGCCAACGAAGCCATGGCTCCTCCAAGAGAATGACCAGTGATCTGGAAGAAGCAAGAATTTATTCATTCCCCAGATAATGAGACTTGACTGGATGTTACCCAAAGCTCGTATCCGCTGTGTTGGCTCGACAATGTGGCCAGATCGTCCTTCATGCCATTTTTCCAGATTCTCATGAACCCGTCATTGAAATATTTTGAAACCACACCTCCAGCAACCCACGGGGTCTAGAAGCAGCCATTTTGGATAGGTTACACATTGATTTCCAGTCCAAATAATCCTAGCATCTGACACCTACATGATTTTTCTGCATTGTTTCATCGCTTTCGACGAGAAGCTGAGTGTTTCTGTCTGTGCCTCTGAAAAATTAGAGTTCTTTATTTAGTCAGACCTTTCGACCATAAGCATCATGCTCAAAATTGGAGTGTCCATGAATTCTCTCCCAACAGTGACTAGGCCCCCTTTCTCTTTCTTGGGAATTAGGAAGGTAAACGTACCTGAAAGACAAGATGATGGCTTTATCA